TTCCCTACAAGTTTGGGGGCCCAGCCGGGATCCTATCGGGATTCTTTGGTGCGAAATATCGAGAGAAACGGCATCGCGTGTAAAAGGCAATCGGCAAAAGACGGTGAAAAGACGACATTGGCAACAGAAGCATCGAGAAGCCGTTACCGAATCTACACTGGAAGAGAAAGACGACCCTGGAACTGCAATATTGGTAATAGAGCACATCCAATCAGGTGGGAAACTAGCGTTAGAAATACATAGCAATAGAAAAACTCGAGCAAATTAAGACGATCGCAAATAACCTCAAAACGAATTCAAAGAAGGCAGTTCAAGCACAGCATAGATTTGTTTTCGAGCGAGAGGGAGATAGAGATAATCGAAAACGATTGCGAGAGTTCAGGGGCTTTCCATTCGCTATAGATTCGGAAGACTATAAAGCGAAAATAGCGTATGTAGAATCTAACCTCACTTGGGCAGATTTAGTGTCTGTATGCAATATTTTAACGATCGAGTATTCAGGGATAAAACGAGAATTGAGTCAGCGCTTGTGCAATGGCCTTGTAGACCTCGATTCACTCAACAACCCCGATGAATCTGATAAGGAAGAAAATGCAGAGGATAGTGACATACAACAGCAAGAGTCAAGCGAGAGTGAAGAAGACAGGAAAGATGTAAAAAGACGAATAAAGAAGACGAAGTATGAAGAAGTAGCAGTAGAAGAAGACGAAGAAGACGAAAACGAAAACGAAGAAGACGAAGTTAAAGAAGATCAAAATGAAGATGAAAATGATCGACGATCAGTTTCGAAACAAACCCCAGAGTAATTAATGCCAAATTTACCATGACCTTTCGAGACGTGGAAGATTCCATTAGACACTATAATGGAGACGACAAATACCCAGTGGAACGCTGGATCATGGATATAGAGGAAGCGGCTGAATTATTTGGCTGAACGAATATTCAAAAATTAATATTTGCAAAGAAATCGCTAACAGGCCTGGCTAAATTGTTTATCCAAGGCGAAAGAGGCATAACATCTTGGGAGAAGTTAAAGAAGGCGCTTAAAGAAGAATTTAGCCAGAAGATGAATAGTGCTGAGTTACATAAACTATTAAGTAAAAGAAAAATTAAAAAGGATGAGTCAGTGCAAGCTTACTACCTGTTTATGAAAGAGATAGCTAGTAGAGGTGATATTGAAAATGAAGCACTATACTATTACGTTATAGACGGCATAGATGATAACGCAATTAATAAAAGTATTTTGCACGGAGCAAAAAACGCCAAGGAATTTAAAGAGAAACTAAAAGTATATGAAAAAATAAAGATAAAGTCTACAATTCCAAGCAAATCAACGAATATAAGCGCAAGCAAGAAGACGAAACCAAAGGACAAGGAGGCAACTAGGTGTTACAGCTGCGGTGAATTAGGTCACAGAGCGAGCGAGTGTGATTCTAAAAGCAAGGGCATAAAATGCTTCAACTGTAATGAATTTGGACATAAGGCAACTGAATGTAAAAAAGAAAAGACGAAAGGGAAGAAAGAAGAAGAAACAACAATAATGAAAACAGAATCCATGAATAGTCTTGATCCACCAAAAAATATGTACAAGATAGTTGAGATGAGGAAAGAGAAAATAAATGCTTTAATAGACACAGGCAGTCAGTTTACTATTATCCATGAGAAAGTCTACAGGAAGATCGGATCACCGGAATTAGCAATATCCACGCTACTTTTCTCAGGATTCGGGAAAAGTGAAGTGAAGCCTATGGGGTATTTCGAAGACATAATCACCATTGACGACGAATCCTTTCAATCAGTTATATACGTAGTACGCGATGACGTAATGAGTATGGAAGCCGTGATCGGAAATGAACTACTATCACAAGCAGAACTGAAAATTGGACCAGAGGGTATATCTATCACGAAGATATATGAAAATACAGTGTTTCCGGTTAATTACGTTACAGAAGAGGAGATACAAGACACTTCGCATATTATCTGCAAAAAGAAAAGAAAAGAAGTAGAATACCTCATCGCAGATTATCAACCACGGAAAGTGAAGAATGCTGATATTGAGATGACCATAATGGTTAATGATGATCGAAAAGTAACTGCAAGACCGAGACGCTTACCATTTCACGAAAGAAAGATAGTGGACGAACAGGTAGAGCAATGGATCAAGAATAAAATCGTGGAGCCTTGTTCATCTGATTATGCTAGCCAAGTAGTAGTAGTAAAAAAACGAGACGGGACGCCAAGAGTCTGCATAGATTATAGAGCACTGAATCAAACAGTCGTTAAGGATCATTATCCACTTTCATTAATAGACGATATCCTAGATAGATTGCAAGACGCCCGAGTATTTAGCTCAATTGATCTAAAAAACGGCTTTTTCCGTGTGCCAGTGAGAGAAAACGACCGTAAGTACACATCGTTCGTAACGCATAACGGTCAGTATCAATTTTTGAGAGTACCATTTGGGTTTTGCAACTCACCGGCAGTTTTCCAGCGCTTCATAAATATGATCTTCAATGACATGACCATGAAGGGAATAGCTCTACCATATGTCGATGATCTAATCATCCCAGGTGTCGACGAAGAGGATGCCATTAACAATCTCAAGTTAGTACTGAAACGAGCAGAGGAATACGGCCTCGAAATTAACAAGAAGAAGTGTCAGCTGTTGCAAAAACGCATTGAATTCCTAGGATACATCATTGAGGACGGCAAGTTACATCCATCAACTGAAAAGACAAAAGCAGTCTTAAGATTTCCAGAGCCACGAACAACGAAGGAAATACAAAGTTTTCTTGGTATTACGGGATACTTCAGAAAATTCATTTCAGATTACTCAAGAATCGCCAAACCTCTGAGTGACTTACTGAAGAAAGATGCGGCATTTCAATTTGAAGAATTAGAAAGAAATGCCTTCATGAAGCTGAAGAGATGCCTGGCGGAGGAACCGGTATTAAATATATATAATCATGATTACGAGACTGAGGTTCATACAGATGCCAGCCAGGACGGCTTTGGTGCTGTTTTACTCCAAAGATCACCTTCAGATAATGGATTGCATCCAATATGCTTTATGAGTAAGAAAACCAGTGATGCTGAGAGAAAGTTTTCCAGTTATGAGCTTGAAACTCTAGCGGTAGTAGAAGCTTTAAAGAAATTTCGAGTTTACCTTTTGGGTAAAACTTTCAGGGTAGTCACTGATTGTTCCGCGCTTCAACAGACAATGCGTAAGAAGAACTTAATACCACGGATCGCTAGATGGGTCCTGTATCTGCAAGACTTTGACTTTACGATGGAACACAGATCAGGATCGAGAATGGCACATGTGGATGCTTTGAGTCGACATCCAGTAATGATAGTTCTTAATCATGGCATTACTCCAAGGATTAAAAAGGCACAAGATTCCGACAAGAATATACAAATTATTAGGCAACGCTTAGAAGAAACTCCTTATGAAGGATACCACATACTTAACGGCGTGGTATCAATAAAAGGGATACAATTTGCTAGTGATTCCCAAGTGCCTTCAAGACGAGATTATAAGAGGCGCTCACGAACAGGGTCATTTTGCAACTACTATAAAAGAACAGGAGAAAAAATCAAACAGGAATACTATCCCTGATTTGCGCACAAAAGTCGAGAAATGCATCAATAATTGCGTTAAATGCATTCTCATCAACAAGAAAGCCGGGAAAAGGGAAGGTTTCCTGCACCCGCTGACCAAAGAAGATGTACCTCTCCATACTTACCATATAGATCACCTAGGACCGCTTGAATCAACAAATAAAAATTATAAACATATTCTTGCCGTAATTGACTCTTTTACGAAGTTCGTATGGATGTACCCAGTCAAGTCGACCACATCCAAAGAGGTCATTGAAAAATTAGAACTACAGAAGAGCATCTTCGGAAATCCGACTTGCATCATCTCAGATCGTGGAACGGCATTTACTGCCAATGAATTTGAAGATTATTGTCATCAAGAGGATATTAAACACATCAAGATTACAGCAGGTCTACCGAGAGCAAACGGTCAAATCGAAAGGATTAATCGCACCATCATACCTGTCTTAGCCAAGCTATCTATCGAAGATCATACTAAATGGTATAAATACGTTCCCAAGTTGCAGCAAATGTTAAATTCAACGTACCAACGCAGTATAAATACCACTCCATATGAATTATTAATAGGAGTCAAGATGAGAACACAGGACGACCTCAAGATGAGAGACATTCTAGAACAGGAAATGATAAACGATTTCGAAGATTCCCGACGACAATTAAGAAACGAAGCAAGGAAGCAAATTGAGAAGGTGCAGCAAGAAAACCAAAGGCAGTATAATCTGCGTCGCAAACCTCCTTTCAAATACAAGTTTGACGATTTAGTGGCGATCAAGCGTACACAACTAGGACCAGGCTTAAAACTGAAGCCTAATTATCTGGGCCCATATCGCATTGTTAAGGTCAAACCAAATGACACCTATGATGTCATAAGAGAAGGCAACCAAGAGGGACCCATAAGGACAACCACATGTGCGGAATACTTAAAGAACTGGGTGAAGCTCGACAATCTTATATCATCCGGGGCGGATGATGTATCAGGACGGCCGAATTGTGGGATCGCCGGAATCGAGGACGGCGCTGAAATCGGTCTTACCGACGGTACGGCGCCAGAGGACACTGGAGGAGGGAGTATGCTTTCTAAGTCCAAATGTTTTTTTTATCATAATTTTATTGTATGTATTTGGAATGTGATGCTAAACAACAATATGTTAGCAATTAATAAAACTAGATTAATTATTGAAATATTACATAATGTTGGAGTATATCTGCAATATTTCTCTAAATATTGCAGCTATATATATCTATAATATTTCTCTAAATATTGCAGCAATATCGTAGAATACTGCAGCAATATTTTATTTTAGCAAGTATAGGAATATTGCTACAATATTGCAGTAATATTTTATGAATTATTGCAATCTTTCAAAGTAATATTGCTATAATGTTGCTGTAATATTTCGCGCTGTAGGGACATTTTGTCTTTTTTCTTCAAAACTGAGCATATCTCTAACTTTTTTCTTAGTTTATCGATCTCCTACATGCTCCTAAAGTTTTGGCATCTAAATTCAAGACACCTGTATATCATTTATATGCACTGAACTGTTACATTGTCGTCAAATTGATTAAAAAACTTTCGAGAGAAGAATTCCTATGACAATCAAACAATCTCTTATTACTCCCTTATCAGCTTCATTTTCACTTTATCAAAAAAGACTTCTTTATAATATCATAAAACAGTCGTTTCTTAAGGTTTCCAACAACTAATAATAAACTCTCTTCCTCTCTCGCTGTTTCCTACGGTCGCGATACAATTTAAGCCGATACTCGAGAATGACCACCTGGGTTCTCCGTTAAAGGGATTCGATTACAGGTGCACCCTCTTCCTCCTCCTCTTTCTCCTTTCCATCTCTTAACACTTTTGAGGGTTTTTGAAAAGCGCCGCGTGATAAATGATGGAATCCCAGTGAACGTGGTGGATTCGCTCCGCAGCGCGTCATTATTTACGTGTCAAAGCAGTAAAAGGTCCCTCTCGCGCAAACTCTTATCGATCTACTCCTCTTCTTATTCACGCGAGATGCTGGAATGAATGGATCACGTCGCTCTTAACGACCATGGATCGGTAAGTTTCATATTTACAACCGTCGGCGAACCTGCTTTGAACGAGTTAATTTTGTTCACCCGCACGAGACGGCGTCTTGTTCAAATTATATAAATTATGATATAGAGACTTTTAAGATTTCGGAAG